CGGGGTGAATTTAACGTCTCTTATAGCTACTGACTGACAGCAAGCGTTGAGAAAATGAAAAGTTACCGCTGGGATTCGAACCCACTGACTAACGACCTGAAAACCGCGACCTTAACCATTCGGCCATTTCAAAGAAGTTGCTTTTCGTAGTTCATATTAGGGAGATAACAAAACCATTAACCTTATTGTACAGAATGTTTGTGTGTAAAGAACGAGTGACTAAAACGCTACAATAGTGCATCACGTAGCAAAAATACACATTCACACAAAGGATGGTCGTCAACATTAATTTTCTCCCTGACAGCTTCTCTTTACTATTTTTAAATGAACGCACATCAACATGGGCAAGTCCCCGAACCACGTCTCTAGACCTGTCTAGGCTACATGTCCGAACTCTTTCATAGGATTACGCAAATGACACGCCATTTTACCCTTTTTTTGGGGGGGGGAGCGTTTTTCTCTAGTTTCCTTTACCGGCATAAAATGACAGCCGAATCAGGAACCCAATACTTCTGCTATAACATGCTGTGTTGTGTGGAGGATCTGATGTGTGGTGTGTGGCTCTTCAGACACATTGTCCTGTGAAGAGAACCTCTTTACAGTCAAACCCTTCTCTATAAAGAGGTAGTTGAACAAGCAATTTTCTTGTCCTATTATAATTCATTGTCAACATTGTAGACCTTAAGTTGTCGTATTTTCAGTTGTGCGAAATGCTGATGTCAAGGTCAAAGACATGCAGTATAAAGTTAAAAGCTGTCACATTATAACGAATCATTTTATTACCGTCAAACAGCCAGACACTTCCAATGCCAAGCCTATCGTTATTTTATTACAGTGATATAAACTCTGTGATAGGTGATAAGCACAATGAGTACTACATGACATGTGTTGAAGATAAGATCATGGAAAGTGAGGTAATTATAATCTGCATAGCATCAGTTCCCGAGCGCAATTTTCTCTGAGACTTGATCACCATTCCACACCATAGATCAGAGTGATGCTGTTCTACAATCCCGGCCAAAATTGTTGGGACACTACATATCAATAGACATGTATAGTTACCCTTCTCAGGTCCCCAATACCCAACTCAATGTTGTCATCTCGAGCTATAGAGCGCAGGCCGCGCATTGAAACCCAATATTGAGAGGCGGCCGGGCCCAACGAGATTTGGCCAGGATCGTAGCTACAAAACGAACAAAACTTGGCATATATTGTTAAATCTGCAGGTCCGTTTGGCAGTGTCATTGTTAAGAAACTTGAGAGTCGCCGGGCCGTCATGCTAGGAGGAACCATGATGGCTATCGGAACAGGTTTGGCAGCCCTGGCGACTACCACCATCCACCTCCTCGTTGTCTAGGACTAATCGTAGGTGAGTATTCTGTCTGAAAAAAAAAATGAAATCGAATCGAAATAATTGTTTGCATTTGGTAAGGATTCAATGCTGTTAAAATTTGTCTTGGGGTGTGGCTGGGAGGAACTATGGTTCCTAGGAGAGGAAAGCAGGTTCTGAATTTGGTGTCGTGGAACTTCCCATCATTTTGGTCCTTGATACAGGTTTGGGTGGGGCTTTGGTTCACGTGGGGCTGGTCTACGTCGTAGGACAATACTACAGCAAGCATCACTCTCTCGCCAATGGCATTGCCTTCAGCGGCATCGGGGCGGGAATCTTTGTCTTTTCGCCCCTTATCCAGCATCTCATCGACACCTTCGGGTGGCGTGGGAGTTTCATCATCGAGAGCGCTATCGTTGCCAACTTGGTCGTCATGGGAGCCCTCTTTCGTCCAGTGTCCAGATATAAAACCAGACATTTCCAAGATGCTGAGGCTGTAATGGAGAGTGGATTTGAAAGTGATGAACATGCTGGAAGTGAAAATTGTAACGGTGATAGCAGGGAGTTTACAGGAGGCGGACTAAAGAAGCGACGCAGCCTCGGGGACCGGGCCTGGCTTCGCCGGTGCAGGAGGTACGGCTTGTGCACGTTGCTGTCGGACTCGCCGTCTCTACTGCTGCTTTACCTCGCGTGCTTCCTGCTAGAAGTCGGGTGCTCAGCCATCATTTTCCATATCACCAACTACGGCCGGGAGACCGGTTTTGATGCCCAGCAGGCCTCGCAACTGCTGTCCTACTTCGGTATCGGGGGAGTTGTCGGCCGCGCCTCTCACGGCCTGTTACTCAAGATTCGACGCATCACGCCTTACAGGATGTTCGTAGCGGCCCTGCTCTTCTCCGCGCTGTTTGTCAGCCTGATCATTGTGCCGAAGTCCTACGGCGGGAAAGTTTTCTTGGTGATTTCCTTTGGAACCACAAGCAGTGTGCTGTTTCCCCTCGTGGCCGTAATCATACGACAGTTTGTTGGTATTGCCAACCTTCCACTGGCCTTTGGTCTGTCCATTTTCTGCAACGGTGCTGGCACGGCGTTAGGAGGCTATCTAATCGGTAAGTGTTCGTGTACACAAGCAGTAAGTGAGTTTGAAACAAAGAATTCCCTCGTGTATAGTGAAATAGCTTTAACAAAAATGAAAGGGGCTGTTGAGCACAGTATCAAAGGACGGAGTTGCGGAGATTAAAATGATCAATTTGTTTGCAGCACAGAGGCTCCCGAAATACAGTCCATTGCCGACCCCCCCTCACTTTTGACAAGCAATCAACGTCAATGATGATGACATCGTGTGGAGGGAAAAGCTTAAAATAGTGTGCAAATAATTTTAGTGGCGTAACGACAGACAGTGGTACACGTACATGATTATAAGTTAAACCAGAAGTATTCTTATGCTTGGTTAAATTTGCAGGGGTTATAAGGGACGCACTCGGGAATTACATCGCGGCATTTTACCTCATCGGTGTTTTCTTCATCATTTCGGCCGCTGTCTTGCTGTTACCACCCCTGTTGACGTGCTGCCGGAGACGCGCGCGCAACTCGGGAACACGAGATGTTGAATGAGCGACTCCAATACGGGCGTTTCACAATCCGCCCCGAGCTGAAGTGCACCCCCAATCGGCAAAAGAAAGACAGGTGGTTACAAGCAGGTTCTTGCTCGCGTTCTGGTGCCAGACCATACATGCCGCAATAAATTAGTTTCGCATATAATTGCGCGCCTCATGGCGCGCCTATGCGGGGTACCAAAAAACACGCCCTTTTTGTTCTGCCGGGAGCATGCATGCCTCCAAGAATTATTTTGCAACTCGTTGACCAATCACATTGCGCGAAATCTGTCGACCAAATGCGCGTTTGGAAAGGGTTGACAGATTTCGCGCGTTGTGATTGGTCAATGCGTTGCAAATTCTTGGAGGCGCACTATTGTGAATCGCCCGTATTGAATGACCAGGAGCCCCGGATGGAAGAGGAAGATTTAAACTCAAGTTTAAAGTGCCTTGCATCTGGTTCAGACAAGCGTAACAAACTCACGCCGAACCAAATGGAATTATGAGCGACTTGAGTTGATCCAAATAAATCTTGGTTTAGACAAGCACATTACTTCAACCCGCGCATAGCATGGCAGCAGATACGGCGAGCATTAATTTTATACACACAATTTGCTTCTTGTTGCGTCATTTTTTGCTTCATTTTTGTGACAATATGGACGTCACAGGTGAAACTGGCAAGCAAAACCTAGGCCATGTGTATGAAACAATGCATATTATGAATATGTTGTTGGAAACAATTTATACACAAGACAAACAGGGGCGAGCAAAGCCGTTGGGAAACGTTTACCTAAGTATGCGAAAACCTGTGTGGGATGGACGCATGGAAAGAAAAAAAATTGGACATTTGTACCTTTTAAGTGTTTCCAACGTGACTCAGCCAACCAAATTGTAAATTCTTTCAGTTAATTTCAATAAAAATTGTATCAGATTCCGATAAGATTTTGACTGTACAGACCTTTCCTTCGGTTACAAACATTAACCGACATTTTGTTTTGGTTTGGTTTGCGAAAAGTTCACCCACGGTTCAACAACTTTGACCTCAAAATGCACATTGTTGAAATCTGGGACATTTCATGTAAAGTTTAATTTTTCATTATTTAGCGAGCTAATACTTGTATAAGATTTTTGCAGAACTTCGTGCATTATTGCTTTGGTTTCGTACTGTGCTCATGGCAAGGCATAGCTATGCCCATGGTTTGGCAAAACGGCACTAGTTACGTAGCAAACATGACAGTGACGTGCGTATTGAATACACCATTCATCTCTGTCAGGCAAACATGCGCAAGGCAGCAAGTGTCCCACAATGCTTTTCGTGTCCGAAACAGCGACGTATATTCCGTCACAAAATTCCTTGAAAGGTGTTTCTGTGCGCCCTGGATGGGAGGTGAAATGAGCAAATCAAGAAATGGATGTCTTGCATTTTACTAATCTTCTCTTAAGAAAAGGTCCCAATGATTAATTGATTGAATTTAATTCATTTACAGCACTTGTTGGTTGCCACACTGCATTCTTTTTCGTCGCCCGTATTGTAATATAGTTCCACAACCCAAACCGTTTCACAATTAGGGGCGGGATACCCTCCTTTGCGAGTTGAACAACTTTCTTCTCAGTGTTTGCAGCGGATGGGGTTCAGCTCGCCTAAAACTTGACAGATACGCCTATTTGTAGATAGTTTGAGAATTTTACATTTCGGGATGCCACGACCAAAAGCTGATACCGTTTACAGTATTCTGAATTTTATAATGATTTTGGTCTATCTATTGTTGACACCTTATCTGGGAATTGTACTCTATTTCGTTTTTTGGTAATAATGTACTCCGTTAATAAGTAAAAGATATTTGTATTTAGCTACTCACGATTTCAGAAATACATATCAGTCATTGCTAAAGAACTTGATGAACGGGAATAATTGAGTACACTCTAAACACGTCCGGGTCGGATTGACCCAGAATTGGGTCCCATTCGGTATAGCCCTTTTCCGGGTCAAATTATGATCCAGAAAGGGTCAAATATGACCCGGAAGGGGGTCATATTTTGACCCAGAAAAGGGTCATACCGAATGGGACCCAATTCTGGTTCAATCCGACCTGGACGTTTTTAGAGTGTATGATCAGGCTAACAATTATTGCTAAGAGTAGCCTGCATGTGGTGAGTAAACGCCCAGAAAGGCCTATTAAATATCAACGGGTGATTGACTTCCATTCTTTCTTATTTCGTTATTTGACATCGATAAGCTCTTAAGGTCAAGAGTTTGCAGTTGTTCAGGGTGACCCGTCCATTCTGGCCGTGGGACCGAATGCAACCAATTACCTCTGTATATGCTGAGGCACTGTCATAGCCGACTCCAACTTCTTAAAGATTTGATACAAACATACACAGTCATGTTCGACCATGACCCGACCGTCGTCTATCTTCAAGGAAGAAGCAGTTTTCCACCCTCCGTTTAGCACAAATCTTCAGCAGTACCCACCAACACGCATTTACGTACCCTGTGACCTGGGGGGGGGGGTTGACATATTGCCCCGGTTGGGAACAGTTGTCATTTTGTTTAGGAATTGAAAGCGCTTATCGAAACGGTACTACCAGCTTTCTTTTAGGCATCTTTTACGGCTAAACAGGTTTTTCTCTTCATTTTTAGGAAAAAAAATTCAATTTGCACCAAACATCGACACGCCACTGCACATTCCCAGCATAGACATTCCTTTTTTCAGGAAACTCGGGAAAATGGTCATGTTTCTAACATGGATTATGATTTTAAGAGTTGTTCTTTAATAGACCTAATTACATAACTGATGACGCCATACATTGTTTAAATGTTGTGCACTTTCCTATAAAGCCACTAGGACGCGGTCCACTGAGCGGACGAGGAGTTAAACCACACGTACACAGAACGCAGAGTCATCACCAAAGAGGCCCATTTTGCTCAGTACAGGTACCATACCAATAATCACCTTGAAAACGTACAGTATTCTTCCCAGGGCGGGATGAAACCTTCCGTGGACCAGGCTTGGTCCACAGAAGGTTTCAATCTGCAGTACTGATGTGGACTCGTGTCGCTCCGGGTCCACACAAAATACGTAAAATAAAGTGTTCGAACAGTTTGAAGTATGGACCTCCAATCATTCCCAGCAACTTTGTCGTTCCGACACGCTCCTTCTGTACACGGTTTTTAAACAATGGACACTTTTGGTTATACCTTGCACGACTGAAAAACTGAATATCGGTACAAATAATTTATATTTTCATTACCGAATACTCAAAACACATTTGACCCGTAGTTGTGGGAATAATAACACGACATCTCACCTATTTTGCGAGACTGAAAACGTTATAAAGACAATAATATCCCCCACTACTCGGTCCTAATTTGCGTAACATCACGCCAAATGCGGAACAAAAAGGCGAGGCAACAAGTGATGCGTATTTCCTTTTTTTATTCCACATATAATGAATACACTGCATACGGCTATATACGGTCTATAGCAAAAGCACGTACACACTGTACGCGTCCACATAGAAGTCCACTGTCTTTTTCTTTGACATTTTGGAATGTTTTAGCTTTTAAACTCATTGAGAAGAAGAGAAACCACTAGGGGAACAGACATCGGATGTGACAAAGCACCACAACCACCACAACATAAGGTATGCACCATCGTTGGTTTGGAAAAGGTAATTGCTGGGGAAATGATATCAAGTGCTACTGTTGCATCACATCTTTGACCAAGCAACAATTTGAAAGATTATAATCCACGTCAACATTGAAATGCCGGTAATCATTCTTCTGAAGAACCAATTGGTAACTCATGGTTCGGTAGACCCGTTGATGGCAATTTTCAAACAGGATGCCGACGTTTAACTCCTTTTAATGTCACTTAGGATGTTTGCAACTCTTCAAATGACATCAATGAAATCGCAAATGCCACACATTTTTTTCATAATGTCCTTTGTTCACAACTGCCGAAAAGGTATTGGCTTCACTGAAACAACAATCATTCTTTGAGGAATCGTGCAGCAATTACTTTTATACAACCAACAGTGACGTAAAGGGTACATTTTGTAGGGGGAGCACCTGGGTTCTCATTCTCTGTAGGGAGCACTTTATGGGTTGGTCACAGTTAAAAACACTGACCAAGTCTATCACCAGATTCCCTCCCCCCCTCTAATTTCAGAGCAAGAGGGTCGGGGCACACATGGGGCACAGGCATGGAAGTGTGTGGGGGGGGGCAGGCCTTCCCTCCATGCCCCCCTCGTTACGCCACTGGCAACGAATAAAGAAAAGGAACAACATCAACTTTCACCGGTGAAGTACGCGTTCGAAATATTTTTCCTCATGAGTAGTGGGCTGGCACCAGGCGAGGATGCACGTGAACAAAACTTTCACAAGTCTGGGAACTGACCTCGTCGTGGTTACTCTGCTACAAAGTTTGAATTTCAGAATTGAAAAGGGAAACTTGAATAGGACCGACAGCAGATAAGCGGGCTAAAGAGGTAAAAATGGCAAACTGCACGACGTATAAAACAGTACACCGAACAAGACTCACATACACAAGACCTTAAAAAGTTGAGGGAAAGCAAAAAAGGGAAAATGGGGGGGGGGGTCCTAGCAATGGGAAAAACGACTAAAATAAACCGGCACGTGAAGGGCGCCCTCCCCTTCATCCTTTTTGCCGATTACAATTTGTTTTTGATCCATACTTTTGTTGCTAAGCTACTCTCCTCAGAGGGGGTATTTGATGAGCAGTACTGTTTCTTGTAAGGATTCAAAAGCTATATACTCAGAACTGTATTTCTTTAAAAAACGTTTTTCTCGTGCAGCTAAAATCTGTCATGGCCGTCCACGATTAAATCACGGGGAAAGTCAAAATACAAAACAAATAACCCGTAGCATTAAACAGTACCATTTAAGCAGTCAATATGTTCGCAGGCGTCTAAATAATTAAATAATAAAGTACTGTCTTTTACCTGTTCTATTGTGAATAAACACGAAGACGATTTAAATAGATCGCACCTGTTTCACGGTTTTATCTCAGTGAAGGGAGTTTTGGAAACGTGCAGTCGGCACCACTTGGAAACTTGAATAAACCAACAAACAGTTCTAGGATTCGTGGATTACTTGACTGATCGATATAAAACTGATTCACCAAGCAAACAAAATTTCACTATCACTAATTCATCAATGGACCACTCAAACTTGTTAATAATTGTTTTCAAGGCAAACGTTCCTGAATGAAGTGTGTTTTTCAAATTTTGCTATTTTTGTTTCAGAAAAAAACTGTACTTGCCACGGCATGCTACCAACAGCTCTATGATGCTACATTTCAAAAGAGATTATGTTGGAAAATGGCGGTTTGTCATGGTACTCAAGCGATAGAACCAGCAGTGTCCACATTGATCACAATTTATGTCAACATCCTGAATGAAGCATTTAACTGAAGTCTTCAGCACTAGCTGTAACAGTGAGCCAGTAGCTTCTACAGATGTGTGGGTTATGGCCAAAACTTCGGGTCGCGGCTTAAGTCCAATCAATCACTTCATGAGACTACAACAAAAAAGGAACAGGTGCATAACAGTGATCAGCCCTAATTGCTTTAAGATATCAATTTTTGTTTCCTTCTTACACCAGCTCATCAGTCTGCGTCGCCATACACATACTGACAAAGTACTCTTTCCGAGGTAGTTCTTAAGTTTTGAATAACTTTTTTTTGTTTTCCTGAAGTTAAAGAAAAGTACTGTCATATCATAAATAGTACATTTTGGTTACAGAATTGAATCCAATAAAGGTATCAGGCTTTCTGACCTGCTAGGCTTGATCTCGTTTTGCACTTGTCGGCAGTTGAATAATTATAGATTGGTGCAAAAGAACACCCCGTAACGATGGCAATCTCAAAAGAGCTCCAACATGGAGGAACCACCTTGCCTCATGTGCGCCGGTGTAGGCTACAATGGGGAGCATAGCATATGCCATTTACAGTCTTGCAACTTAGGGAAAGCGTCACGTATAAACTTAGGTCAATTACTGCTTAACAATGTGCATGTGTCGAAGCTGAATTATCCTAGTTGAGCAGTTTTGTAATGATCTCATCTCTCACATTTTGCCACAGGTAACAACTCTCATGGTGTTAAGGGTCGAGAACATCAAATACAATTATTGTTACATGAATGGTTCCCTCCATACTGTCAAATGACATTGGCTACTGATAACCAGCAGTGCGACCATGGTCCAGGGCCTGGTTCTAAAACCATCCATCACTTGGGTGATGTCAGTCCAAGGATGGTTAGCTATGGCTGTCATGCCAACTTGCCTAGGTTTTAGCACTGAATTCTATACACTGGATAGGCAGATCAGCAGTAACTGCCTATTTGTCAATTCAAGTGACCGCGCGGCCATCTTAGGATATTCAATACAATGGCCTCCAGCTTCAGTCCATTCAATAAGTGCATTCATGCAAAGCGCTAAAGCCAGTGACTTAGAGACTGCTATTGCATTGAATAGCCTAAGACGGCCGAGCAGTCGCTTCAATTCGCAGAGCAGAGCTGCCTATCCAGTGTCTAGAGATCAGTGGGTTTTACAGAGTGCCCTCTTTTGTTCATGCGCAGAGAAAAATGGAAAGGTACAAAAGAGATGAATACAAATGTGAAGGAAAAAATCACTTACGAGCGGCGGCAAAATCTGCACAGCTCCCGAGGTTAATTTAAAATTGACATTTCCTGTATCACAATTACAACAGACGGGCGCTTTTTGGATTGCAAGATCCAACTGCACAATGAATACTAGGATGCCAGACCAATGGCAGCTACATGTACGTATGGCATCTCTGTCCACACAGTACTGTACTGAATGAAAATCATGTCCTGATTTTTGCTGTTCTGAATAACATTGTCAAAGTTAACACCAAGAAGAAATGAAAACCGACAAAGAAATACGGCCTTGCGAGCAATAGTCAATAAACTCCACACACACGCACACACCCACCCTTGAACAATATTTACAAATTCGGCATCATGGCAGCAACTAAGTATAATACAGAAATAACATTTGCTTAAAAACCACAAAAGAGGAAAAAACAAAGCCTACCTAGATACCTGCAAATGATAAATATCTATGTATTTACACAATGATATACCATGTACTAATACTTATTCTTGCAAATACAATACTTTATGTACTGTAGCATGTGGATTAAAGCCATGCTTAAAAGCTGACCAAAAAAGTCATATTTATGTCTAGCACACAAATTCAGATAAAAATTCCATTCAAGTAGATGAAAGTACATCGTTAAGACAATGCCTGTCACAAGTTTTTTTTATTTCACTGCTGATTGCTATTTTACTGAACTGTCTAGTTGAGAATGCCCCTACTTTGACTTTTGTTACCCATATGCCTGATGAGTATTGCTGCATGGTTGCTGTGCATCACCTGTGCTTTTCCCTCATGCCCACTCGGCCCCAGTTTTGGGGAGAACCAGCTTCTTTTTATTCCTAGGACCCTTTCACTCTGTGAAACCAAAACACAAAGGAATAAGAACTCGCCGGCTCCTCAAGCTTTCTGTGGACAGGGAAATAGAAGAAGTACTCCCTCTCAGATGACCCTCTCAGATGACCCTCTCAGATGACCCTCTCAGATGACCCTCTCAGATGACCCTGGTGGTACCCTCACATGGAGAAGATTGTTGGAGTCCACACTACAGTCGGCGAGTGGCAGTGCTGGTTTCACCAATCAAGAAATGAGTCACGCAGAAATCACTCCAGAAGGAGAAAAGTATAATTCCCAGGCATGAAGAGGGCTGATAAGCGTCCACTCAGCCACTGAGACAATTATTACATTAATTTACATCTCTCTGTGAAATAAATTACTAGACGTTTCAAAAAACATCCAAAAAGCTTTTGACAGCACAGTGTAACTACATGTACATGTAGGTCTAGAAAAAGGACATTAAGACTAGAGGGCCCAATTTTGTTGGTTCAAGCCCACAGAGAATTATACACGTAAACAATCAATCACTACGACCATGGGTTCTAAGAACGACAAAACTGGTGATTTTTTTTTCCTTTTAGACTTCATTACTCATGTCGTACTCGTTGCCTGCTCGTGAGGCGTCACCGTAGGGTTTCTTGTCCTCTCTGGAGGTGTCCAAATCCTTTGAGCGTAGCCAGAGGGTGATGATGGCTCTTTGGCCAGGTACACCAATCACGGCACAGTCACCAGTGGCTGATATCTGACAGCAGCTGATGGGCTGGTCCGGGGTGAACGTTGCGATACTTACACCTACAGGATTGATCACCAAAAACAAAATGAAACTAATAAGAACAGCCTCCTGACTACGGTGACATGGAATACACCAATGAAAATGTTACTGGGCCTAACAGGATCCTGGCATACCCTTTGAGAAATACTCTGTGAGGACTGAAACTCAGGGTCTCTGTTACAAATGATTAGGGAAGCTTCTTGGAGGCTGGCATATATTCCCGTTCTTTTTAGAGCAATTCTGTTGAATCTTGGAGTGTTCCTAGGAGGAATAGATAGTGTACTGCTAAGACGAAGACTTGGACTGTTAGTAGACTCTGGCCAATTTTTTGCTGGATAATTAAACTTGACCTGGAGAAAAATGACTTGTGACTTCGCCTGAATCAGGAAAAATTACTTGGGCCAAACTTGAATAAATGTGACTTGTTTATAAAGCAAGCTGTTGTTGACATAGACACAGTTAAAATACATCTTCAGATAGTCCACACTTTCTATATACACAACCAATCCTGCCTGTTTTTATTATGCTAATTTTTTTCAAATATCAATGTATTTTGATGAAAACAATGAGGCTGACAAGTCAGATCTCTTGTGCAAAACATCACACGTCAAAGAATCAATCAAGGATGTCAGAGAACATGTACAAGTGCCATGTCAATATGACTTCAGAAGGACTTGGCAAAAAAAGACTCGAGACTTGTAGTTTGACTTGGAAAAAATACTCATGGCATGACTTGGCTACATTACTGCCTCTCACCTTGCTGAAGGTCCCACATGCGCAGGCTTCGGTCCATCTGTGTTGAGTCATTGCTGAGACATCTCTTGCCGTCCTCACTTAAGTAGATGCTGTCTACGGGATGGGTGTGGCCTTGCAGTGTGTACCTGATCGCCAAGGGAACGGAAAATGTTGAGGAGGACAGGGCACGGGCCAGAGAGACCAGATTTTCTCAGGGACGTAACACTAACTGAAAGGGTGTGAATGGGCTTGAATGACTTGGCAGGAAATCTTATCCAACGAATGCTGCCCAATATATTTGAACTATGAACACAGCCTGAAATGAAGTGACAGCAGACCTACCCAGATCCATATTAATAACCTGCTGCTTAAAAATTGCGTTAACCTCGTATGCGGTGGCAAGGATGCGCAAGTGCTATGTTGGTGAGAAAACATCAATAACTGTGTTAACCACTTCCTGCAGGGGACTCCGGAATCGGCGACGTACACGTATGCTTTATATGCGTGGCCGGGGTCTCCGAACTCGGACAAAGGGAACAGGGCCCTGTAACAAAAGACCATACTCTGAACAAAAGACCAGGCTGCTGGGCATTACCGGCATTTTTCACTCTCAAAAGTGGAGATAATCCAGCTTTGTTTTGAAACAGTATACCGTGGTTTGGGGCATTTATAGCGAGTGGATTACCACCGGGGACAAAAGTGCTCCACCACCGCAGTGATGCGCCACACAGTACCGCTGCACGCTAATCTGGCCCCTATTGAAAAGAGGTCAGCAGCACACTGAGCCAGGTTCGTGAACAAAAGAAAGTTATATAACAGCGCACAATCTGAGCTCTTTTTACAAGGCTGCAGGCCTGGCAGAAATACTCGGGCGTCAATGAAGGTCACCTGTCAACTTGGAGTAGTGCCCAAAGATTACTTCGTGCGGCTATAAGCGTGCGTTAAATGAAATGATGAATTTTTGAAGAATTTTGAAAACGGAAAAAATGACAATTATGCCGGCCCAGCATCATCAACATTGATAAATACCCCGGCGCTAAGTGGTTAATGTTTTGAGTACGTTTTAATTATAAAGGTATGCTCAATGCCTGTGGTTACCATAATATGGATGAGGCTCAGTCCCTTAGCAGAACGTTTTGTGATTTGGTGCAAAATGAACCCAGGCCTAGCTACTGGGCCTAGCAAATGAGGACATAATCACGTTTGGTTTCAAATGGGAAATCTAGTGATGCAGCTGACACTACAGTCCACCGAGTCCTTACTTGAGTGAACCAGAGGACAGATCCCAGAGCAGGAGGGAACAGTCTTCGCAGCCGTTCACCACACACTGACCCTCGGACGAGATGGCCACGCAGGTCGTGTTGGAAAGAGGCTTCCACTTCTTGAACTGTTGACCGCTCTGGAGGTCGTACACGATGATGAAGTTGCGGCTGGGATCATCCAGCTCCTGGCCAAGTTGAAAGAAACAAAAAGAGGAGAAAGTTTAGAGTGACAGGAACCATTTGGTGGTGATGAGGAACTAATGTCAAGGGGTTATTGCAGACAAAAAATTGTAGAGAACAGACAAGTTGCCTAGAATAGATTACCTGCCGGGATGTCATACGTATACCGCTTCTAACAAGTTCTTAGATAAGGGCTAAAGCAAAACTTACCTTGATAACTGAGACCACGTAGTGACCATCATTGGAAATGGCAGCCATGCGAGTGACAAACTCATGCTGGCTGATTCTGAAATCATGGACTAGCTTCCTAGCTGACAGGTCCCAGACTAGCAGAGGGCTTGGTTTCTGTGTGTCGTCCCCGCACACGCAACGGTGACCGTTGGCGCTCACCAGCAGACTGTTGAGAAACCGGTCCTCCCCGACTTTGAACGTCGACACCACGTCGCCGCTGGTCACGTTGATCATGTTGACGTACATGCGGTTGCGCGAGAGCGCCACCACGTGCTCGGTGTCACTCATGGCGTAGTATGGCATCTTCTGGTTCATCATGCCCTTCAGTTTGGTTTCAAAGCTACCCGTGTCAAGGTTGAAGATAAGGAGTTCCCGATTGCAGAGGATGACCACGCGATGGCTGTCAATGAACCGCACGTCGCGGGGGCACGAGAGGTTGCGTAATGTTCGAACACATTTCTGCGTGGTTATGTTCCAAACCCTGACTTCACCTTCCTCTGACGCAACAGAGACCATGTATGTGTTGCTAGCAGGTACCCGGAATAACCCTGTGAGCATGGGCTTGGGTGTGGGAGTGGGTTCCTCTGGCGATTTGGCATCTAGTTTGCGTAAACAGTCCCGCGATGGGAAAAAATTGCACACTGGAGGTTTGGCGGCTTGCTTAAACAACTGTTGCATTTTGGGATGGCTGGAGCCCTTTTTTTCTAGGGCTCCCCCACTAAGTCGCTGCTTGAGTTGGCAGAACAGCTGTGTGCCGTCTGTGGAGAGCGAGTAGGCTGCAACTTGAAGGAATTCCAGGAGCAGTTGCAGGTCTAAGTTATTAGGGTCTTTGCTCTGCGCTAACGTGACGTCTTCCATTACACGATAGATGTCGCAGTGTTCCAACTTATGTCGCAGCCAATCCACATCCCAAATGTACTTGTCAGCAAATTTTTTCTCGCCGCTGTTCAGCGCATGGTAGACTAGTTCATGATAGCGCCGCCGGTTTGGATAGCTACCATAGTTGGCTGGCTGGGGTAGAACATAGCGGTCCATCAGGACTTCAATGCCACCCTCCTTGACAAATGGTTTCTTCTTGCTCTTAGCCCAGCGTCCCTGGTAATAGTCCACAAAGTTCTTATGCAACTGTGTCCTATTCTGAGTACCTGGCAGGTAGCGTTTGCTGGCAAGCTCCCGCAAGCCAACATGGGCCCAAGTTCTCAAACAGCGCTCATCCACAACGCAATCCAGGAGAAACGGAGCCAGTTCCTGGCAGATGGCAATCCACAAGTATGTGGGTGCCCGGCGTAGCACAGGTCTTTTGTTGGGGTAGATATCATCAAGCACAGCATCGTCACACGACAGCAGGTCGTTCATCTCGGCATCAGAGACGCCATCCCGTGCCAAGCACAAGTACCCCAACGAGTGACCGACTGCTACCTTGCCGTACCTCCTTTCCAACCTGTCCAAGATGGCACTCATTTGCGCACCAGTATCCTTCTCTATTTTGGTGGAGCTGCTCTCGTCATAGCTATGCCAAGTGCAAGCGACATGGCAAGCCAGCTTCGCATAAAGTGGGATTGGACACCCAGCGACAGCGTCCCGTAGGACCTTGGCTTGGGCTTTACATAATGTTCGTCCATGGGCCTTCAGAAGGCTATCAACCATTTTGGTCGAATCGGCTCCAGAGAGCTGCGGAACCTCCACAAAGTTTGCACTATCCCGCAGTAAATTCTGTCACGAAAGAAAAAAAATACTACAGTTGACCTTGATACCACAAAACATCTTGTCAAAGTAATAAAGATAAATACTTAAATGGTCTTTCTCCAGCTCTACATTATGGTATTCTTTTCACAATAGGCCTCTGTACTGATGATACCAGACTTTCTATGCCCATGTGCTTTGTAATACGAGTAGGCTGCAGACAACAGGTTCTATGCTCCACACCAAAAAGTAGAGTACATGTAAACAAAGCGTGATGTCTTTGTCAAACTGGCCTACTGCTTAATGTGACTGACCTCTCCATAACTCAAATAATGTGTGAAGACAAAGTCAATGGGATAACATTAAAATTACATGTAAATCAACATAAAGAAACATGATATATGCGGCCCCGTGACCGACTCTTGCTTTTTGGAACCTCACTTCGTGAAGAAACTTTGAAGAAAAGCCTCATCAGGCAATTTAGAAACAAAAGCATTAACAATTACAAAGACAAGATCTTTAACGAGCAAGATGCGACTTAAAAGTGAATTTTCAACTGCCCTGTTCAACTTTCCAATTTCAAAACACCAAATCTGATCTTAGACTGAGTTGATCAGTTATGCAAGGATCGATGTTGATTACGCAGGCCTTCAATTAAATTACAGGACATTCCTCTGTTTACCTTGAGATGCGTAAACCCCTCAAAGTTCTTGCCCCTCGTTGTTAGAATCATCTTCACGTTGCTCGGCAACGTGTCTGGGATCCAGTTAAATGCAGCAGTGGTGTCGCCCGAGGACGCGAACTGGTCAATGCCATCCAGCACCACCACTAGAGGCCGGTGCTCTGTCACGCGCTTCAGGAGCGTGGGAAGGTCCTTGCTCAACCGGTTTGCACCCTGCCGGGACCCAACGAGTCAGTCAAAATATCAAGTATGTGCTGCAAACTTGCTTCAATAACTGACAGTTTTCACCAATTCCAACTGATTTCTCTCATTTCTGGTGCACCCTTGTTGGTCTACATTCACTAGTTATCCTTCGAATTCAATGATTGGCATAGAAAATGGGGGAGAGGCAACCAAAAACCAAAGAGTCTGGTTCCCTGACTTATAAAAGGAGGAGCTGGAAGAACAATTCTGGAAACATGCAGTGTCTAACAATGACCGCTATTTTAATGATTGATGGGAGGGGGCATGGTGAGAGGGGAAGGGTTAGGATGGAGGTGATACGTCTTTTCTTGAGCAAAGACTCTGTAAGAATAAGGAGTGTCTGAAAAGCCTGGTTTGGGGAGTCAGGTTGGCGTAGTGGTTCTTTCCTCGCCTTCCACTTCTGCGGCCCGGGTTCGAATCCCGGCCTGGTCCACATGTGGATTGGGTTTTCAGTCCCTACCTGATTCTGTGGGTTTGACCCAGAATATTCCTCTGGGGTTTTCCTCCCACCTCTAAAACTGTAACTGCTTCTCACTGTCTCTTCTCTACAGGTTTCTTCAGGCTTGTGAGCTACAGTGCCTAGGGCGCTTTTGAGGAATACTTGGTGTCATTACCAGAAATATATAATAATAATGATAATTGTTTCCATATTGACGTGACAAACGCAAACTGCAATGCAGACATATGAAAACATGTCAAACGGAAATATCGCCAATAGTGCAAACCAGCCCCAAACGCATAGGCAAAGTTGAGCCCAGTTCAACTTTGGCGACTGTCTGTGTTGAGTTGCTGAGTAGGCTTATACAAACACACACAGAGGCATGACAGGAGTACAACGATGCTTCTCTCGCTTAGTACCCCTCATTTTGTCCATTTTCTCCTTATTACTAGCATATGCAGCCCCAACTGTCAACAAAATAGCTGATCGTTAACAAATTACATCAAACTAGAGTATCAGTTTGGCTTCAAGAGGAAACACTGCCACCTACAAAAGGCAGTTTTGGCGAAACGTTTCTGAGTTTCGGGCACGATACAAATGACCATATGGAAACCTGGCTTAACAAAGAAAGAGCGAAATCATTACCCTTGAGGCTATGGAGATATGCTCCCCATACAAGTAGGCAATCTGCTCACAGGTGCTGCGGAGGAGCTGGTTGGGGGTGGAAGATTCTGGGGTGGCTCCCACAAATCGCACCACGCAGGCACTGAGCGGCGACACCTGGCTGCACAGCTTGACTGCCATGGACGCCAGCGCCGTCTTGCCTGACCCCGGGGCGCCGTGCAAGATCAGGGGCGACTTGGCCTCCCCTCCGAGGTAATCCCGGATCCGGTTCAGGAGGTCCGTCTGGCCATGGAATGTGTCGCAGTGTCGCTGACACAGCGCTGTGTGCTGCTGCAGCTCTAGATGAAGCCTACGGTGAGTCTCTGAAGATAAAATTGCCAGAAATAGGAGTAAACGATATTGCAGAGACATGTGAGAATGACAAAGCAACACAATCTAATTGGCTTTTAAATACAAGCACTGGTGGCAGAAGCCGGGGGGGAGGGGAGTGGTTGCAGGGGAGCCAATGACCCTCCCACTTTTGGCAGGTACTATAATGGGGTGGGGCTTATTGGACTGGTACATTAATGGCTGATTGTCTCACAACTGTCCCTCCCCCCAAGTTGAAAATCGTTCCGCAGCCATTGCACACACGGTTATCATATGCATATGACATGACGCTTGACACTATGTATGTACATTTATATCATAACACAGATATGATGTAGTGGGGTGAGATATTTGTACCCTTTCTTGACAGCTAACCCCCTTCCCCTACTTGATCCAAATTAGGATCCACCATCCAACTGGCAAAAGGTTGCAGTGAAGAGTGGACTGATTTGTTCCCCTCACCCTCCCCCCCCACACAAAAATAACTGTACACACCCACCAGTTTTTCTCAGCAGTGATGAAAACCATTTGTTCATTAAAAAAAGATATAAGTAAACGCTCTCCCAAATGGTCTATCTAAAGTGATATAAACTGACAATGATGATGCTGTTTGTGCCTAATAAAATATTCAGATTATTTTCTTGAAGCCTCAATTACTGGTGGAATGTCCCATTTTTGGTACTGCAAAGAATTGATATTAACGTACATTCATCTCTGTGCATAGTACATCATGAAAACATGGCTCTGGATGGCCAAATCAGGTACACAGAGTACTTAATGTATTTTGGTAGAAAGATTATCTTTTAATAGTATTAAACAGGGAAAAATATCTAAATTGAATTTTTTTTATCTTCAGACCATAATACAATTATCTTTGCACTGTTTTCCAATCTGTGCCAATTTCAAACACAAAACAGGACAGATTTTTGGCTGCTGGGTTGTGGGAATCCGGAAGAGATTGAACAAATGCAATTCGGCTCCCAATTGCAATTCTTCTGATAGTGCAAACCAGCAATGAGTCACACATGCCTACGCCCATCTTGGCTGTTCCGCATTTAAGATGCGGCCAGCCATGTGCTGTGCAGCATCAGAGCCCAAGCCAGGCACTCCCTGCATGGGTGGACAATTTTTGGAGAGCATCACCTCATCCTGTTTATTCACCGCCAAACGCCCAACTGTGTCCGGGGAGGGGGGTAAGGCAACTGAATTATGAGGTGCGGAATTCCTCATTTGCCGGACTCGGCAGGAAGAGCAACTGGAATGAGGGTCAAAGTGGAAAACAACACTGAAACGCTGGTTTCTTTTTTAATTGCGTTAGGGAGAGATGTTGCGCTTTTAAGCTGAGGGTATGCAAGATAGGTATGCCGTGTCCAAAAATGGCTGGTGGAAGGATTAGGCTTAAGTGAAGAAAATTTGTAGATGAATGTAGCAAGTACATATGTACACGATGGTTGACAAATGGTTAGAATCTCTCTACATTAAATTGAGTTCAAGAATAGTTTGGTTTTAGTTTGATTACTAATAATCGTTAAGATAAAGTTTTCACTTTCTACGTTGGCATTGAGTCAGTAAGCTGAAGAAAAAATTAAAAAAAAGAAACCTGAATGGAAAAAACTGGCTAGCATGCACCACTGAAAACAGTGCAATTACTAGATAAGATGTTAAAGCACAGCACACCTCAGCTTCATTGTCTGCCTTGGCATTACATCCATGACACTGCTGCCATTAATATCACAACCATGATTTAAAAAAAAAAATTGCTGCGACATTAATGTGACCACTCATGCCCAAAGTTTTCACAAAATATTATTTTCAAAGTCTTTATGGATAAAAAGTATTAAAATCGACTCCCTCCCCTTCAAGCATTCGACACAAGTTGATGTTGTGAAGGCATTTGACTGTCCAAACCATAGGAGGGTTAAAAAAAAGGAGTGAACGGACCAAATACGTATGCATCATACACATGTACATGTAGCATAATACAATATACCGGGTCATGTCTCTTTCAAGTGAGGTCATTTCCTACAGACTGCTACTGTACATGCATCAACATTTATGGCTTCAAGTATCTGCCCTGAGCCGAAGTGCACCCTCACTGGCGAAAAAAAGACAGGTGGTACTAAGATTTCCAACCGGGTTCCAGCACGCGTTCGGCGTGCACGCAAAGACCACACATTCTAGACTAAAATCGTACTCAGCGTGCTCCATGTCAAATGCGCATAAACTGGCGCACCTATGTGGTGGGTGAGTACTAAAGGACTGTCGATTTCATTTCAAAACACGCCCTCTTATGTTCCTGCTCGGAACGGATTTATGATGAGCATCGGCTTCATCGTACTTAAGACATTTAGATCAATACACATGCAAGTGTAGAACATTGGCATCGGTTGATATTGTACCTATGCACAGTTGTAAAGTTCCTACAAAGATGGTGTCCCACGAAAGAGATCACTAAGGGTGAAGCATACACTCTCGTATCCAGATGTTTTAGATAAGAGACTGACAAGCAGCTGTGACAAAAAGATAACAATCAAAAGTAACACTGTATATTATGGTATGGCAACATACCATAAGTTTGCAACCAACATCATGTTTGAAAACTTGTTTTGAAACGCTCAATGGAGATTACAACAGATGAAAGTTGCAACGAATATCAACACCAAAGAAATCGCAGCAACTGAAATCCACGGAGTCTCAGACATCAACAACAAAGTCTCACTTTTTGTAATGACGTCCTCCTCCAACCTCTCGGCCACCGCTCGGTCGATCAGCTCCGTCAACATCTGCTGCGTCTTGTTGCAGATGTCGTCGATGTACTTGGCGTGGGTGGAGATCCCGTCGGGATCCAGCCCCTTGGGACTCCAGGGGATGTCAAACTTGACGAAGTTCCCCTCGTTGACCTTAGTGGCCATCCTCTTGGTCAGCTGGGCCAGCTGCTCGTGGGAGTGGGTGTCCGCCTCTTTGTTGCCCGGCAACAGGTCCAGGTAGATGCTAGCCGTGTCGTCATTGGGGTCGATGCGGGTGAAGCGACGGTGAAGCCAGATGACGGCATCACTGACGCTGGTCGGTGAGAAGACGCCCTCGTCGATCTCCGTTTCTGAAACTGCATCAAGAAAAAACAGTAAAAATCAATATGACAGTACTACGTCAAAAACGAAACAGCGACTTTCTGTATATTTTGCACAATACCATCTACAAGAGAAAAAAAAATAGTTTATTGGAGAGGTGGAATGATGTCACAGTGATGATGATGACTGTACATGTATTATACAAAGGTAACATGGTTTGTTCACCGACGGACCTAGTTTGTAAATTCCAAATACCAAGATGAGCTAACATTGACTGTCCAACGGAAATAAACCATGTTATATTTGTTTTACAATATACCTCATACATATTTTATTTAATAATCCCTGAGAATAAAAACATCATCATTAATTTGTTTCCGCTAGCTTTTATTTTGTTCCTATGGTCGAAACACAAACACTTTATCTGATTGTCTTTTACATGTGACGCCATCTTCTCATGTGAGCTGCATACCGTTGCTGGGTCGGCGCCACCAGGCGTGCACAGTACACCCGGGCAACAGTTCCTGGATATTCTGCTACTACGCATGCGTTTATAACTGTCGCCCGGCTTTCAGCTAAAAACGCATGCGTATTTATTCCTTGTGTGAATAATCGCGTGTGCGCTTGGAAAATAGCAAAATAGCAGCTGCCGTGTGACCATGAATACACCAATGAGAGTTCGGCGATCTGTAGTAAGTATGTATGACCTACAGTAATAACTGTTATCTGGTCTTACTGAGTCACAGCCACGTCAAGATGGAAGTCTATGACTTGTATACTTGTAACTCTAACCAGTTGTCTAGCCCTAGCCTGTGATTTCGATCTACATGTAAGCTATCCAGTACCTTTAACACTCTAACTGCATCTTTGCTCGTGACAGTGACAAGCCACTGTGACTCCTTAGCCAGAGCCAAAAATAACCCAAATCAGGAGGACAATTCAGACACTTCTACGGTTCGTTTTTCGTATCAAGCCATTTTTCATTTAGACAGACTCTTGACACTTCAACCTTTTAACTGAACAGAACCGGTACATGCACCTCAAGGAAGACTTGCATCAAAATCAGGGTAGCGAATTGATACTGAGAGACTCTTGCAGAAGAGATGCCAAAAAATGCATACATGTGGACATGAGATCAATAACTAAGATGGAGGTTGTCTAAAATGCACGTTGTCTCTATGAATTCTATGAACTTCAATCCCCCTTGTTAGTGTATACTCACTGACTGACACGTTTATTTTGAAATTAATAGCAACTGTCTAGCATTAGGCAAGTTTTTATTGCCCAAAAAAGTCACAGTTCAATTTTGTAATACTCAATCATAAATGATCTTTCACTGCTTCCAAGAATTCTGTCTGCTGTGTAGACAGTTTGATATGTGAAATGTACCACAGACTGGACGTGTGCATCACGGGGAAAGCCCTTCACACACATGTAGTGAAAAAACATTCACACTTTTTTGTTCGAAGTTGAGAGTTGAGTCCAAGTTGAGTTGTACTGGTAACTTCTCAATTACTTTTTAATGGGAACTGAACAAGGCCTGTACATGTACATCAGACATTCTTGCTTGAAAGAGCAACTTCTCAGAAAACTTGGTTGGGTGTAGCTATAAAAATTGGGGAAAAATTACAAGCTTTTTTGTTTACGTCTTTAAAGCCGACAAGATGAATCTGGTAACCCTAGTAATGCTATAACTGGTCATTTTGCACTGTTGCAGGAGCCTTAGCCAGCACTGTAGTCACCATTATGCATACATAGCCACTGTTCCTTGATATTCACTTTGTACAAAACGAAGCTCAGTGCTTTCTGCCATTAAAGGGATCACCAGTACGCTGAACAGTACGTCCACTGAAATGTCAGTGCATTTGTCAATTGACCTGTAGGTAGAAACATCAAACCCTGAGTCTTGGACAAAGAAGGGTCTTCCCTCTTCAAGTTTTACTGCCCTACTGAAATTTTGACGGCTCTACTCCAAAACTTTGCATCGCACATTCACCAATTTCCACACAGCAAAGACTTAATGGATTCCAAATCAGTCCTACCTTCAGTAAAAAAAACCACAATGGATATTTAAAAACTACACTAGCATGGTGACCGCTGTCTACATTGCAGTAGTCAGACTAGCCACTTTTACTCAGCTCGAAGTTACCAACGTGAATTTGAAATCTTGAAAAGTGCCACCTGATAGACATACATGTACATGTACATGTAGATGACCTTTTCTGTTGTCTTGCCTTTGGCACTTGTGGTCATTTCAACATTTTCGCTCAGCTGAAAACCATGATGAACAACCACCCCAGACATGATTCCAGGGAGTGGTACAAACAACATGATGATCCTCTCTGGGTTCAACACAACAAATGTTTCATTCCAGGAATGACAACGGAGTCCAGTTCTCCAAACTCTTTGTCACATCAACTGCACTTCCGCTAGGCAGTTGTACTACGAAACAGTCATGGCTACGCAATCATGCATCATGCTTTCGAAAGAATTTCACTAAATAGGTAGTAAGTGCGATGTATCCCAATTCTCGAAGTTGCCATAACATGACTTTTCCATGAACTCACTTCAATATTGGACAGTAAACAGTTGTCAGTTACTGTGTAATGCACTTCCGCTGGGCAGTTGTACTACGAATCAGTCATGGCTACGCAATCATGCATCATGCTTTCTGAAGAATTTCACAACACAATAATCAGTTACTGCGTAATGAGTCATTAGATTTTCTCTTGAAGAAAATGAAGGTGGAAACGGAGCTCATAAAAGAAGTTCATTTCATTCATAACTGCAGCTTCATTTTCCAGATAAGTAACGTCTGCTTCGATGAATTTACAACAATTTTTGTGTCATGTATAAAAGGCTCTGAAAAGAAGAAACTTTGACAGAAAGGTTCGAGATGACTTGTATTACCATTAAAGTTATGAGGCAGTCCAGTACAGTATAAAGTTGCAGCCACCACAGTAGGTTACAATGTGTAATCAACTGCAGAGATGCCAACTTTTCAAAATGAAAAAGCGTAATCCTATCGTACTTCCAGTTCCGGTTTCCCGACCGACCCCAATGTTTTGGCGCAACCCCAAAACTTTCATCGGCAGACTAGAAAAAATTTAACAAGTTTTAAAATTCCTGTTCTCTTTTCTTTCAAAACAAACACCTGTCAACAACTTCTTTTCCAATCAAAACACTTGGATTTACCTGACTAGCATTGTGCAAGTGTGAATAGTAATTAACTGCTGATTACATGTATATTTCCACATTAATTCTGGTAACTTTTTATTTTAATCATTTTTGTGGCAATTTTTGGTAACTTTCGTCCCATTCAATCAGGACAAGAAATTATCAAAAAAATCCTTACCTACGGACCCTATTTAATCGAAGCAGAGCTACTTTTTTCTTGGCCTAACTAATGTGTTTCTCGGTCTCGTGAGATCCAGCGTGGGCAATATCTATAATTTCACAGTTACACGTCTTGCAAAACATGTAAGCTTCTCCACGCCAAGACTTTGTAACAAAGGCCCATTTAAGTGGTGGATTCGTCCCTGAACTTCAGCTCACTTTTTGCCACAGCGCAAAAGAAGTCCAGATCACCCAAAGGCCAAGAATCAAATCCTTGACAGTCCTCCACTCCGGTCAACTTTAGCACGATCTTGATGTTCGACACAAGTGTGTACGATATCGGTACATGTACAATGCATGGATGTACACAATCACGTTGCATACAAAGTGCAATCTTGCCTATTTGCCCCCTGTTCATTCATCATAGCGTTAATTGGGGCGAACGGATGATTAAACCATGCTGGTTTCTACCGCTACTCACGCAGCTTGAATGCACAAACTGCGGGATGCCGGCAACACATTTCTGACGTGCGCATTATGAGGCCGGCCAGCTGTATGGTTTTGTACCTTTTGCACTGGAAATCATAAAAATCTTAGTCTGGATCGTACAGTCGTAAACGGAATAAGTACTGGTACTTCCCTACTCACCTGAAGCCATGTAACGTTCCTTCTCTTCCTTCCCCCAGCAAATTCTCAAGATCTCGCAGATCTTCTCCGCTTCATCCTCCGATGCCTTACCCTGGAACAGGTAGACCGGTGGCACCGAGTTGGAATCCAGCAGGTAGTGCTTGGTCAGCAGGGCTCTGTCCTCATCTTCTTCTACCTTCTTGAGGAGACGGTCAAAGGCTGAGGCCAAGACACGGATGGGTGTCTTGCAGCGCTCGTACTTCATATTGAGAAGAGACTGGGCACGGGAGGGAAACAACAGGTGGAAAGTACGAGTAAACATGGGACAGTCAATCCTTGTGACGTTGGTCTTGTCTTTAAGACCTTCTTGGCAGGAAGGCCAAAGACTAAGACATGAATGGAGTAAGCATTTTGCAACAGTCACACTTAAAGGGGGAAAGACTGAGCTCACAAAAGGATAAAAGTCTGACTGCCGATGATGAGTTCAATAAACTAGAGAAGGATTCCATTCATTGTACGACTAAACTGATTACCATGAAGTTTGGTCCGGTGGAGGCAGCCTGACAATACTTGATCTCGTGCAGGCACTGGTCCAGGAATCGCTCGTCTTTCAGCCGGCTATCCCACAATCCCCAAAAGAGATCAATGGCTTCAAACTCGTAGCCACTGAGGGCACAGTGGTCCCGCAGCTTGGGGTAGACACGCTCCATCAGGGCGTTCCTCTCCACCTCTGAGTCTGGAATTCAACAGAGAGAATCATTTCAGAAGAGTACCATCTTCTTATTGGATACTGGTAGGTCTAGAAGCAAAGTTCTACAGTCTACTCTCAATATAACAAAGTTACGGGGACCAGGCAAAGGACTTTGTTATAGAATACTGAAGTTTCATTTGCACATTCTGGTTCCAAATGTCAGAACTTCAGTACCTGACAACCAGGACTCTGTTATAAAAGGAGTGAAAAACAAAACAAAAAAACCACAACAATTCACAAAATTTGAGTTGTCAGAATTTGCTCTTTGTAAATTGTCACAACAGTATCCTTGATATCACGAGTCAAGTATTAATACATGGACATGTACAGCACAACTGGAAGATTACTGGCATGGGCTCTGTGAAGAACCTCTCCCTCATTGGTGAAACATAGGAAGGGAAGGTTGGCAGAAGTGTGTATTGTGATTGCTAGAAACCTACAGGTCTGCCTACCGGTACATGTACAAGTATCATGTGAATTTCAAAAATATATGTACATGTACTGTACCACAAGTGTAATGTGTACCTACAACATGCATACTCCCGATACAATCATGTACATGTACCATTAGGTCTGTATGTGAATATATATGTACATGTACATGCACACAGCACCAAAGTTCATGGAAATTTGTACATCAACATCCTTGCAGTACATGTACAGAATCATTTATTGAGAGCAGAAGCAAGAACATTACAGTAGCCACACCCACATGTGAAAATAGCATAACCATATTCCATTTCACACATCTTGAATTCTAAAATACACGTACAGGCCAATCCAAACAATGTGAATTGATCACAGACAATTGCCCATGCTCTGTAGTTTTTGCTTAAAAATTCATTCATCTGAAAAATTCATTTATAAATGAATTTTTCACTTTTCAGCAAGAACAACAGAACAGGGGCAAGGATAAGTGCATCTGAAGCCAGTGGCCCAGACAAAGCAAATTATATGCATCGTTTTTTTCTCCCCCATCCATCCCTAGTGCTTCATTTTCCCAGCACACTCTGTTCTCTCTTCTGTCTCCTTCCTTTTTCGTTTTAAATTGCCTGTCATCGCTACAGCCTCAGCCTTGTAAATGTCAAAGGTAGAGCATCTAAGCTCCCCCCCTCCCTTCCCCCCAAGCTGTGGCTATCCATTTTAATGAGGTGGGGAGATTAAAGCGGGGGAGAGGGGAGACGCGAGGAGAGATGATGCGGTCACCACGGTGACGATAATGTCCCTGTTAAGTCGCGTTAGGCTCGCCACTTGAATTATACCGTCCGTGCGGGTTGCCGTGTATGCGTGTGATGGAGGGACAGGTCTGTTGTTTCAACCAATTATCGCAGCCTGTCACAGTGGGAGATTGTACGAGAATGAAAGTATGGCCAGTGATGCTCATGATGATGTTGAAAATTACAAGAAATTAAACTAAAAAGGAACGAGAGAGAAAGATACCGTTAGGATTGGCATATGACAATTTCCCTCAGAAACAAATAGTTCATGGTCATTAAGCAACTTTTCATTTGATATGCTGGTAATGCGGGAGTTCGGCTATAAAATTTTACGGTTTATGAATATACAAACACTCGTAACTTGTATCTGATTTTTTAAAATGTGAAACACTGCACTTTACTGATGTCTTACTTTACATTATGGAGTACACATACATGTACATTTATGCATCCAATATTTCCAATGTGGATCTCATGATTTCTCATTTCTTTGTCAAATTTTCGGGCAAATGAGCACGTGTAAAAATACTTTAAGTACATGCTACATTGCAGCATTGTGTTATAGCAAGCCTGTATGTACTGTACAAACGGTTCAATTTCAGTACACACATTTTAATATTTACAGAACTGCAAAGTGCAGAGCATCCTACTGGCTGGAAAGTTATTGAGAGAATTTGTGGGTTGTAACATTAACAAAAGACTCCTTTCTTTCACTGTCATTCCTGAGCGATTAAAATCTCCAGTTATTTTCCTTGAATATGTCCTCGTTAGTAGCAACATAATTTATCACTCTGTCCACTCATTCTGCACAGTTGGGTGACCAGAGCACAGTGAGGGAAGCAGTGTAAACAGCTGTAATAAGGACAAGCGTGACACGGGGCATCAGACCGGACACAAGTCCTGCCAGACATTATTATATGTATAAACAGTTTACAAGAACATCATCCTGGTTGGTGAATGGGTACAGTATGCGATTGGATGCATGTTTATTGAGTATGGTACGGTATATGCACACTACAGAAACCAGTATAAACATCAAATGATTGAATGTGTGAACAAAATAACAGCTCAATCTTCCAGATTGTATGTCTTTGGAAAGGACTTGCATTTTATGGTGGGGTATACAATATCCCTTTCATGTTAAATGCACACTGTTGAATGTATTGTGGAATATATATTCAGACACTGCACAGCACACGTGATCTGCATACATTGTACACTGTACATCCCTATTTGATACCAATAAACACCAGAATTTTTTCGGAGGTTGTCACCTCAACTTATGTACAGTGTAAGTTATCGTTATTCATGTACGGTATGTGTACATACACTTTGCATCACAAGTTGTCATGAGGTGCACACGGGGACATGTACATGTCACAGTATGAAGGTACATGTACATGTAGTGTCACCTCATGAGGTACCGGTACAAATTCTGAATACTGAGACCGTGTCCGAAATGGGCTTCTAAAGCTGCGACTAGGTCTACTGTCGGCGCATCTCCGTGTATTTCCAATGGATTGAAAACCTAGACCTACATGTAGCTCTAGACAAGAGATTCGGATTCAGCCTGAGATTGGCCCTCAACCGATGTTGGTGAAAGACAAAATCTCACATGTCACCGTGACCCGTCACAACCCTATGAATACTGCATCTTGCAGCTGTGCTACAACTATCAACCATGCACGCACATTTACATGTACAATAAACTTGGTAGGGCTGTGCCGAATATCTGAATATTTGATCAATTATCAAATATTTGAATATCATTTCCTGAATTTGAATATTCGAATGCAAAATTCATTAAAGGAGGGGAGAATTTTCTTTTGTTTTAAATAAGAAAAATCGCACAATGGAGGCTTGTTTACAGCAGATTTAAATGAAAAAAGACAGAATAATAATATGTCTCACAACAATTCAAACAGTACATTATTCATTAAAAAATTGAAAGGAATAGAAATTTTCATCAGGGCAAGAAGTATTGTTTGTTGGTTAAATCTTGCTAAATCACAGCTGGAGGTAAGTGAGAAGCTATTATAGTGATTACATGTATAATGTATAATAAGCCTTATTGAGACTGATTTTGTATACTGTATGGTTTGTTCCTCAGCAATCTGCCGGTCAGTGTGACCGAATATTCGGATATTCGATCGAACTGAAGATTGAATATTCGAATAGTGGATTATTTGAATTGACTCAGCCCTAACACCTAGATTGGTTCACTCCTAGACAGCCGATGCAGCAATGTACTCAAGAACTGGATGGCATCATAAAAATATCTTTGAGTTTGATAAAAAGGAGAGTGTTGGTGAATTAACATTCAGGTCTGTGGGATCTGTACACTCTCTGAGATGGAATAGTTTTGATAACACAAGGCTGGCATTAAGTGCAATGTACATGTACACTGCATGCGGTCAGTAATCCAGGTAATTACTGTACGAACTTGTGCTTAGCAACTTGCAATGTTGTGTCAAAACTCAGGCGTGGGACCTGGCCGTTCAAGACATTCCTGGCCGTCTATCACACGGTCTGCTCTCTAGGTCATCGGTTACCAGATGTCTGACAGTTTCAGATCAATGGCAGAAGTTCCAAAATGTATGCTTCAGAAATGGATTTATTCACCGAGTCCATGAGAATAAAGTCCTATAATTTGATTGGTGGATCAATGATCTTGTGGCAGACCTATATGTAATTTTCACACGCACGGCATGGTCGTGCCCCTAGAACAAAAGTTCATTCCACCGGTCCCAACGTGCCCCCTCTTCTACGCCAGTAAGGGAGGGTGGGGGAGGGCACTACTTCCCAGAATGGATCAAGGATCTTACCTCCGGAGGCAGCACTGATGTACACCCTCACCATCTTAGCCTGTGGCTTGCATTTGACCAATGCCACTTTGCCAAGCAGCATGTTCTTCACGTCCTCGCTGTAGCAGTCCAGGTCGGGAAGGGACGAGCCTGCCCCGGACTTGCCGGCTGGCTTAGCCATGGCTGGCGACATCTGGGGGGTGGTCTTATGGGCGGTGCCAGGGGTGGGCGCTTGGGGTGACGGCGGGCTCTCGGCTGGCTGGGGAGGGGCCAAGGGTGGGTTGGAAGGTCTCTTCTCTTGCTGGGCTTGGACGGAGGTCTTGGCCGAAGCATTGCTGCTGCTTCGGTGATCTCTCTCCTTCTCCTTGTCCTTGTCTTCATTGGAGGAGTGGCTACTGCGGCGGTTACCCATGCTGCAAAACGAAAAAGACCAATCACAATATTAGCAAAATACACCTTTGCCACTTTCTGCAAAACAGTGAATTACTGTGCATTGAACATCTATCTCTAGATTAAAAAAGTTTGTGTCAATCCAATTAACACCGCATTTAATCGACAGATGTTTTTTTAAAGTGTCAGGCTCACTTGTGGCACAAGTCATCCAAACTATTTTTGAGTTGCAGGCTTTACAAAAACCATTTATACTGGGAATAAAGAGGAACTGGAAATGTACATACTGTGCAGGAACATGTCTGTCATTCAACAAGTTATCAACACTTTATATCCACATAATTTCCATTTTCATCAGGCAACCAAATTGAGTGACACCAGGGTACACCAAAACAAAGAGCTCAGAAAAGCAAACTAAACCAGAATTACGGGAAAAGGTGTACCAGGCTGCATGCAAAGATCTGCACGCAAGTCAAATATGCGCTTAGTGCTGAACAGTTCCTCTTGAACTGTAGCACGGATGAAGTACCGGGTATGCAAATGTGAACATTGCCCTACATGTAGATGTATATGCAGCTACAGGGCCTATGTACTGTACATGCTGCTTGCTCCTGAAATTTTACTGGCAGTTGAATATGTCTGAGGCTTCTAGTCTGTCAACTTCCAATACCTTAGGGAGCTAAGATTGACTATCCAATAACCAACCCTCATCAAAGCATGTTATACAGTACATGTCTGTCCATGTACTTGTATACTGTCACATAAAACACTCAGTCCAAAGTCACCTTGAGAGGGGACAAGACCAGATACATATAGTTCTGCAGATGTGTGGGTTGGTACAAAGATTTCCAGAATAAAAGGTACATAAGATAAACATTGACTTGAGTGGAATCCGATCCTCCAACCTGCCAGAAACACTTGTACCAGATTTTTTCTTACCGACGGCACCATCCAGCCCTGTCATTGGTTCCCCCCATCTGTCAAGCATTGTTGGTTGGGACAAAAGTCAGACACCGCACCGTACAGAACCCTACACCGGCAACGGGCAAAATTAATTTCCAGGCCCGATTGAACGCCCCATTCCAAAATGCAATTTACATGTACACGTCAGAGCATACAGGTGTGGTAAAATGTTCATAACGTCATTACACGCCCCTTCAGTACAGCAATTTTCATACTGTGCGTTACAGTGCCCATAAGGCTAATGTACATATATGGAACATACCGCATGAGACAACTTGATGTACAGTATGTACGCGTACAGTACTCCGTAATTTGAAACATATGGGCACGATAAAGTGCTATGCATTCATAATGCAATATAAACTTTTGCCCTAATCATGAAGTTGGAGGTTAGCTACATGTACAAGCACATGTAATGTTAGAATTAAGTAAGCTACTTGAAAAAAAATTCCACGAGCACGTCACGCACATTTACACATACGTGTAGGTGTGATCTAGAGTGAAATCAGTCGGCATACTCCTTATGCATGTGATATTTATCTTCATGACATCTAGACAATTCCTCTGTTGCAAGGAACAGATTATGTCTTCCAGACTGCGTAACATCTGTTCACACTGTCAGATGACACTGCTTGAGATCGGAAAGGTCAGAAGGCGCAGAGGATGCGTTTGGACATCTGATGACGCAGTAAGTAGGGCAGGGTCGCGTTTCTCTCGCTCTCCGTGGGATGCAGTAAATGTCATTATCACCCCGTGTTTACCCATCCACAATCTGGACGCTTCTGCATGATGACGTGAGTGAAATGTGCAACAACTTTATGACAGTTAAAGAAATGTAATGTGATACATACACGTACATGTACAATGTTTGGTACCGGTAGGCATGTTCATTCTGGTGTCCGTATGCTCGATCACTGCTACAGAATAAAATCTTACTTGGTGAAAGCACATGCACAGGTTAAAAAACTCTAGTCATACACGTAAGGAGTACAGATGCACAAAGCACAGAGTTTTGGCCATTCAGCTGAGGTACATGTAGCAGTATTTATAAAATTTCAGAACGTTAACCCTAAAAGTCCTCAGTCCTCCAACAGGTGAAGGATTGAGGACTGTTAGGGTTAAATATTGGTCCCAAGTACGGTAGCTCTGAAAATAGTAGCTTTACACCTGACACCAAATGTACTACAATTTCTGATCATAAGACAATAAACTACTGGAGGCATTTCAAGTGTAATGTTAGGTCTTCATTTAAAAGCACCCGGTATGCCCACATTAATTGTTTTTTCAGTGAAATGTTTGCATAGGCTGTACCAAATCCCAATTCTGGGCCGTTTTCCAATACTCAACTTCGGCTCTGTCTCAGGCTTCGACTGTTTTTTTTTTCTCGCTGACTTTGAAGCAGTAAGTGCAGTAATCAGTCTAACAGTGCCACAGAACATCAAATAATGTAAGATGCAAGAAAGCCAAAAATAACAGTAATTCAATATAATTTAAACGCTTCAGGCCCACAATCGGGGACTGGTTTTTGGGAACGAAGCCTGAGACGGAGACGAAGTTGAGTATTGGAAAATGGCCCTAATTTCTAAAACCAGAGACCGCACGTATGTGTACTGTAGCACTGTGTCACTTGATACATGTACATGTATCAAAATGAACACCTACGGTTTACTTGTACATACCTGCTGTGCATACGGTACATTTTACATGTACATGTAATGGTGCAAATAAGATACATGTGGGTCATTCTATGAATTTGGGTTCCCACGTGTGACATTTCTCTATCCCAGTGTTACACCTGACCTACATGTATGTAATTTGATAAGAGCTAGATTACTGAAACTAACTTTAAACTATCTTTATTTGTTCGCATTACTTAATCATAGTCTGAGTTCAACTTCTGGCTCGGTCCACACGTGAATTGGGTTTTCAGTCCCCACCTGATTCTGTGGGTTTTAAACAGAAATTTCTTCTCCAAGATTTTCCTCTCACCTCTTAAACTGCAAAGTCTTACTTCTTATTATCTCCTCTCTACAGATGTAGGTGAATGTGGGTCGTTTGTTGGCTGCCTGAGGCACCCTTGAATGGCATTGGTTGGACAACATTTAATATTCATTGTACAAAATAAATTTGAACATACATGTACATGAACCGGTAACCGTATGAAATCTACACTTTATAATTGAATAAATGAAATGAAATCACTCTTGGAATTTGAAAAATATGTTTCAAACTCACATGTTCAAACTCACATGACGGGTGTAACAGGGACAGGAAAATACAATGGATCCCAAATTTAATCTAGAATCATGTACGATACCTGAGATCACACCAGGTGGATTCATTTTCACATACACTCAATCAATGCAGTTTTGTTTATTTGACTGATTTAAATACATGTATGGCTTGCAATAAAAAGTGACAGACTGCATCAAGAGTTTCTCAGCTCTAAAATCAGACCAAGGGTGATATTATGATGCTACTGGAAGTACATCTACATAATAATCAAGAGCGGTGTTGATGAGGGTTCCCCAGCAGCGTACCAATAGGGTCTCCCTGCAGTGTGAATGTAGTTTGCTGTACAGTACACTGTACCTATATGTACATGTAGAGTGTATTTCTTCTTTTCTACATCAACCAGTACATGAAGGTAAAAGCACGTTAATGGTAAACTCAGGATTCTCCAGACTTCAAAATCCTGAAATCAGGAAAAATCTTGAAAGTTCACATCCATGATTGGGTGACGTGCTGGAACTCCAGCCTTATCATCTCTGACTGGATCACACAGAAGCCTCTTTTTTTTTCTTTTCTAAGAACGCTGCTGGAGTTTTCCCAGCCCTTCTTCCATTAACGAAATACAAGTATCGCCAGGGGCAAAACACAATAAGCCCGCATACACGATATCAATATATTTTAATCAAACCAAGAGCCCTCCTGCGACAAACACGCCCAGACAATCCTTGGGTCAACTGCTACTAAATGAAGTCCTTCGACAGGATATATGTCTCTCTCCCTCCCCCCATTTCTTTCTCACACCAAAATTGCCAATTTGAAGGCTAGGCAGAGCAGCCTTAAATGCAAGACAATCATGTATCTTGATCAACTACCCCTATCAGGACTGGATATTGATTCCCCTCGGTGGGTTTGGCCTTGAGTCTGAAAGCAGGATGTCCAATTTAATTTCTGCAGTATCTTTTTTTTTTATAGAAAATATTTTCCTAACCTTCAAGTGAAATGCATGTACATGTACGAGAGGGGTGCATCACACAACTAAATTATTCTTCTCTATTCCCGATTGCCAAAGACGGTTCCGGCCGGCAAACGTTTTTTTAATAGCAGAAGTTTTCACTGTAGCTAAACTTACATTTTCGCAGAGCCAAATACAATTTTTTCATCTTTGCAATGTTTCTGTCATGTGGCATCAACAGAGACTACATAGCTGGAATCCAAATACAATAAAAATCATCAATTACCACCAAAAAATGACAAAATTTCTCCATGAAAGCTCTCGATGAAAAGTCTGAACTTGCATTTTCATTTCATGAAACATTTGAACGTTTGACGTTAATGAGATGAGGACCAGCAAACATACCAAAGCAACAACAGCTGGTACAGTACGATAACAAACAAAGGATGCATCAAAGATCAAGCTACTGTACATATGTAAATTAAAATTTATCTTTTCCAACCATAATGTCCTGCCATTCCTACCATTTCAACCACAACCATCCTGTCCGATAATATCTGGATTAGATGTGATTTGAAGCTTTTCATAGTGGAGGTACATGTAGCAAGTAAACTAGATACTTGTAGGTTTGCGGTAGCACCATGGATGTCTTTTTGGAGAATGTGGGGTTCTGAAAAGAACTGGTGGTACTTAATGTCTGGATTACATTATTGCTATGAAATTCTGTATCTGCTATCATCCGTCGCCCATCGTGCCTCGCCCGTCATCCGTCGCCCATCGTGCCTCGCCCATCGTGCCTCGCCCGTCATGCATCGCCCGTCATCCGTCGCCTGTCGTGCATCACCCGTTGTCCGTCATCCGTCGTCCATTGCTTTT